ACACAGACCAAGGCCGGCCACAGCCAAGCCAGCACCAGGCCCCACATCTACCCACTCTGCAGGACGCCCCTCCCCCCCACCAGGACAAGAGTAGTAACCCCACTGTAGGACCACCCCCGCCTTCAGAGCCCTGCAGGCTGCAGATCCCTCCAAGAGCGGTCCCCAACAGCTCTGGGGGACTCTAGAAGGCCCCAGCAAATAGAGATGGAGGGCTGCCCCCAGCCCCTCGGTTGCACAATCGTAGGATGCCCAGTCAGTTCCCCCACACCACCACCACCATCCCCTACCCCGTTCTGAAGAGGGCTCCTCTGCTTGGGGAACCGAGAGGGGGGCAGCGGCAGAGTTGGTTGCGTAGTAGTAGTAGGGCCCAGAGCCCTAAAGCATTAGTAAGCGAGAAAGGCAGGAACCCTGCTCCGAATGGCCACCGCAGCCCGAGGGCTTGTTTCTGCATTTTCAGACTGTTTACGAGGAGGACCTTTAATCATCACAGTAATAAACAACTTGTTAGAGTGCACTGCACTGCAGCGCGGGGGACACCGGTCCTGCAGAGAGAGAGCAAGCTGAAAGCGCAGCAGAAGGGCCCGCCCCCAGGTCCAGAGCCCGCTCCCGGACCCCGGTCCGCCCTGCGCATGCGGCTTTCAGGCCCCGCGTGAAGCAATGCTTTGCCGGCAGCGCCCCCTGCCGTCCCAGTGCCGAGGCTGCGTGGGCCAGAACCCCCTGTGCTGGCAAGTGAATCACCTGGGGGCTACCGGCCTTGAAGACCAATGGCACCTCGAGAAACCCCTGTCATCCTCCCCAGACCCCGAAGCCCCTCTCCGGGAAAATGGGGCCTGTTTTTCCCGGGAATCGCTTTGGAGGAAGCAAAATCACAAGAAGATCTTCAAACCCAAGATGGGGAATGGGAACCTTGCTCACAGAAGGTGGTGGGCAGGTTCTTGTCCTTATGTAAAACCTCCTGCCTGGGCCCTGGGATGGCTTCTCTGTGGGTTCCCAAGGCTGTTGAAAGACCACCTGAGTTGGATGCCCACTGATAGGGGGTTCAGGCTCATGGGGTTAGCCCAGGCCACACCTCCAGAGGCCACTTGACCAGATCACACTAGAGGTACTCCCTGGTTAAGGATGTGGCCCAGTGGTAGAGCGCCTGGCAAGCTAGAGTCCCTGAGTGCGATCCACAGCACATGGGGGGGGGGGGGGAGCAGCACTGGTCTATTTTGACTCCCTTTATGTAAAGAACAGAGAGGCATGGACTTGCCACTTGCATGAGGTCACCCAGCTCCTCCAACAAGAGCAAAACTGAAGCTGCCACCTACCTCCATACTCATGGGCACCTGCCAGGTGCTATCCCAGCAGTGCATCCTTGGGCAAGTCCCTTCCCCCTCTCTGTGTCTGTCCCTGCATGCTCCTCCATGATGCTAGAATTCCTGGGGCAGAAGCAGACCCTCACTCAGGGTTCCTGCCCCCAGGTCACCCCACTGAAGGTGTGCAGCTTTGTGTGTTGTTTGCCTGCATATCATGAAATGACTACAGGGTGATTTTTCCCAGAGTGTTAACAGGTTTAAGACTTGGCCCCCAGGAATCACAAACAGTGGTTTTGTGATGAAAAAGAAGGCACTGGGGTTTGAACCTAGTGGTCTACCACTGAGCCACATCCCCAGCTCTGTTTATTTTGAGACAGGGTCTCACTAAGTTGCCCAGGTTGGCTTCTAACTTGCAGTCCATCAAACCTCTCAGCCTTTGGGGTGGCTGGGGCTAGAGGTGTACCACTCACTGTACCCAGCAGGAGCTGGCATCTCACTAGCACGTTTCAACCCCTACCCCAAGGAAGAAAGCCCTGTAGTGCCAGATTTGTGGAACCCCAATAGATCTCCAGGAACCGAATCCGATGCAATTACACAACAGTCTTTATTGCAAGCTCGAGCCTAGACTCACAACCGTTTCTGACTCAGTGGTCCCAGGGAGTGAGCCCCAGTCCTTTGTTCAGTGAGATTTTATAGGTTTTGGGGGATTTTATAGGTTCTATGTGTCACAACATCACACAGCAAATCATTTCATACCGCGGGAAAAATCAAACAACAACTCTTAACATTGATTAGCACATTCACTGGTGGGAACAAATTGGGTAAGGGTGATTGGTGAGTTCAAGAGGTAGATACATTTGAACTGATTGGTTTAAGCCGGGAGGGGTGTACTGCTAAACTATAGGGTTTCCTAACATGTTATCAATCACCGAAACTACTGGGAGGGTCACCTGGCATTTCAGATATTTTCCCTGTCTCATGCTGATTGGTGGTTACTAGGGTGTTGCTGTGGGTCCTCACCTAGCGAAACTGAGTCAGGGACACCTGGCACTGCAGATCTCTCCTGTTAAACAACTCAGCAGGGTATGTGCCTAGGAGAGCTCTGTGGGTTCTTCCAAGGACAAGGGTCACACCCCCTCCCTCTGGACAGGCCTTAAGGTAGAAGCTGGTTTCTCAAAAATGGAGTCACATCAGTTTCTCACCCCACCCCGCAGGCCTGAGGCAAAGCCACCAAGACCAGCAGGCCCCTACATCCTCCACAGCCCATTTACACAGCAGTACTCATACTGAACCTCTGCTCTGAGCCAGGTTCTGCTCTTGGAGCCCAGAAAATGAAACCCTAAAATATGGTTTGGAGCACGCTAAACAAAGTGAATTGCTTCTGCCCACCCCAGTGTGGAATTCCCTTATCTGCTTTTAAGAGCAGACTGCAAAAGATGCCTTCCATCCCCACCTGAAACCATGTGACTCCATGTCTCAGAAGACTGAGGAATGAACCACACCTGGTCACTCCACGTCTGCCCCCCTGGCTTATTCAGATTCCAAAGAGAAATTTTACAAACTAATTTCTATCCCAGAAACCATTCCCCCCACCCCCAGTAATCATTCACAACCCCTCAAAATTGTCTACATCCCCCATTCTCCCTCTCCCCGGCTTCTGCATAGGGCTGAGGCAGCACACTCCTGTGACTTCTCCCAGAGCTGTGATTCCATTTCTGCACACCTGCTGTCCTATTTAATTTTTGTCAGTTTATTGCAACGAACTTTCACAGGATGAAGGGAAACGACCCTCTGCCCTGACAATGCCCTCCACCCAGGCTCTTCTCCTTAGCTATCATCTGCTCTACACTTAAGTACTGTGATGCAAATTATGAAAACCATATTAGCTCAGCTATTTCATGAACAATTTTTAGGACTGGACTGATGCAAAAAGGGGAAAAAAAAAAAAGTCTCATTTTCAAGTTAATCAAAATAAAGGCCAGTTTAGCCTGCAGCCAGCACAGGCTTCATAAATGAAGGTTCAGCTACATGAGAAATCAAAAAAGGGAGTTTGAATTAAAGAGACAGACTCTAATTACCTTTAAACCAGCTCCAGGACGGCTTCTCCTACCTCCAGCCTCAAGCTACCTATTATAGTAGCGAGGTTTACTGAAGAGGCCTGCGAGAGAGAGAGAGAACACGGCAGGAAGTGGACTTTTATTGGGGAACAAAAAATTCTGGGGAAAATCCCATCCAATGAAGATTAAGGTGGGCAGTGTCCCAAGGTCAGGTGCAACAATTGGGTGTTCAGGGGCAGTGGCCAGACACACCGCCACATGGACAAGCCCTCAGACCTGAGAAGGGTGGGGAAAGCTCTGGACACAAAGATGTGCCTAAGTGCCTCTTGCCCAGCCAGGGAGATAACTCAAATCAAGTGCGAGGATGGCCTCCCATAGGCCAGGGAGCTAATAAAACTCCTCAGAGCCATTATGCATCAAAAGTCCTGAATTATATTTTAAGAATTTTTTCCTAAAAGCAGTAAGCTGTTTTGTGTATTTATTATTCACTCCAATGATTCCCACTAGTATTTTTAAGAATCCCTCCCGAACGTTGGAAAAAATTGAAATGTTTTACACATACCAGGGGCATCTCAGCCATGCTCCAGAGACAAAAGGAGGAGCTAGCCCGAGACACCTTCTGTCTCCCTCAAAAAATTTGTCCTGCCTACCCAGGGCTCTCAGGTAACACCACTTACTATTTCAATGACCTCGGGGAAGTCTGTCCTTCTAAGCCTTGGTTTTCCCATCTGTCAAGGGGGATAACAGTACATAGGGTGAGACTTAACATTTTTGAAATGCCCAGCACAGGCTGTTTTTAAAAAGCTATTTCTTTGAACCACTGCCTATGCTCAGGGCCAGCCCACGTGGTACTCAATAAACAATTTTTCCAATAAATATACCTCCTAACAAGCCCCATGAGGTCAGAACCCATGTGTTTCCACCAATGGAACTGGGCACAGGCTCATGCCTGGCAGGGTAGAGTGGATGACACCCTGTATCTATTCTCAACACCCATTCTACAAAGACAGGGTGCAATACAGTCCCTTGGGAGCATTTACCATACAGACACCAGGGCCCCACCCCCAGAGATTCTGTCCTATTTGATTTGAAGTAGGCCCTGGATATCAACTTTAACTTTTTAAGTAAGAAAGCCAGAAGATTCTAAAAATGCAGCCAGCATGGAGAAGCACAGATCTAAACCTACAAGTGTCCCAGTGGGATGTCCTGTGGGGCTGCACAGCAGAACAGGAGGGGAATTTGAGATTCCTGGCTCAGGCATCCCCAGGAGCTGAGGGGAAACCGACTCAGGTGCATACCCTGAATCAGGCTGCCTTTTAGCACCATTTCAAAGATGGAGGTCCTCGCCCTTGGCTGTACACCTAGCTGGCCCCAGCGCCACCCAACTGCAACTGGCCTCCCTGTAACTGCCCACACGTTTGAACCTCCTCTGAAGTGACAGGACACCACCCAAGAACCAAAGACCCGTTCCCATGCTAGGACCTGAGGGAGGTAAGGAACAATGACACCACTGAACTTTAAAAAGTCCATTCCCTTTGAATATCGAGCACCTTCTAGGGATTTACTCCACAAGAATGCTCACGCCAAAAAGAAAGTCAATAAGATTTAATGAAAAGAAAAAAAACACACACACTATGTGACAACATGAAGTAGTCACAAGCTTTATTTAAGAAGCGAAAAGCCTGTAACAAGCTAAAAGGCCCCAATATGAGATGGAATTGTAACACATCCACACACACAGAATAGATGAATTTATAATGACCAGAAATACAAAACTCTGGGTAAAAAGAAAAATAGTAAAGTTGTAAAACATTACATACAGAAAGGGTAACTTTAAGAAAAATGGTATCTATGCACAGGAAAAAAGCCACTGTTCTGAAAGGGGTATAGGAGAGTCTTGTATTTTCTTTTTCTAATTCCTATCTTTCTACAAGTCACCAAAGAAAGCTGAAATGCTCTTAGAAAACACAGGAATAAAGCAAGGTAAGAACATTCCCCAAGAGGTTGACATTGTAAATAAAAGCTTTATTTTAAATTTAAAGAAATATTTAAAACAAGCAATATTTTTACAAATTATCATCAAGGACTTAAAACATAATTTAGGAATGAATTCTTAATTAGAAATGATGATATCCGTAGAATACTCTGGTGTTGGCCAATATGAAGTTTACTTCAAACTAGTTTTAACATTAATCATCCTAATGTTCAGTGATTACAATGATTCAATGTTATAAAGTCAAGCAAGTCTTTTGTGTAATATCTCAGATAACTTTTTCAAATACAAAACATTTATGCCAGGCAAGGAAATTATAAAACGTATATAAATTATACTGAAGGACTTGATTTGAAGGCTGTCTCTATGCAGATAGATGCAACTCACCTTAGAAAGCACATATGCCTCAGAACACTAAACCACATGTAGATGCCATTCATTCTCTTAGTTGTGCCACAGAGCCACCTGCAGTATCTCTACTAAGTATCAACTGAAAAAAATATATGTCCCAAAACAGTCTCTGAAGGCATGTGGGAGTAGAATGTGCTGGCATTCAGAGCTGGGCTGTCTCAGGACCCCCATCTCCAGCCAGCCCCCAGGAGCCACTAAACAGGTCCCACCCTCAGAAAGACAGGATGGTCTTGTTAATGATCTCCACCGCCTCCAGGATCTCGTCCTCCTTGATCACCAGCGGAGGAGCAAGCCTGATGATGTCGCCATGGGTGGGCTTAGCCAGAAGCCCATTATCTCGAAGCCGCAGACACACCTTCCAAGCATCATAATCTACAAAAAAATAGTCACACACATGTGCTCATCAAAGACAGATGTCTGAACATCCCCTTCATGTACATGGTGACAGCTGGCAAAAGAGAATCCCAGTGCCTACTCAAGAAAGGACGCACCAAGCTGCAAGCTAGCTTTATTCTGATTGTTTAATTTTTGGTGCCAGGGATAGTACCCAAGTGCTCTACCACTGGGCTATACCCGACCCTGCTGTTATTCTTAAAAATTAAGTTACTCCTGGCTGGGTGCGAAGCTCACTTGGCTAGCATGTACAAGGCCCTGAGTTCAGTCCCCAGTACTGTCAAAAAACCAAAACAAAGCAAAAAATTAAAATTACATGAGCAAATAAATTCTTTCCAGGTGTGCTTGCACCCACCTGTACTCACGGTTACTCAGGAGATTGAGACAGGAGGATCAAAAGTTTGACATCAGCTTTGGCAACTCAGCAAGACCCTCAACAAATTAGAAAAAACCCTGCCTCATAATAAAAAGGGCATGAGGTCAAGTGTGGAATTTTCCACCTCTGGTGTCATGCTGGTGCTCAAAACCTTGAAATTCTGGGGCATTTCATATTTTCAGATTAGGAATGCTCAACCTGATTATATAGGAACTAACACCAGAAACCCTGGGTGTGACACGCGAAGTTCACTCAGAACGAGCAATACCCAAAACCCAGTGACCACCACACATCCCTAAAATGAACCTGCTGCCCGAGCTGTGGGATGAGACTCATCCCTTCACGGCATGTTCTGAACCCTGACTGCACATCAAAATCACCAAAGAGCCACTGCTGATGCCAGTGCCCCACCCTGACCCATCAAATTAGAAATCTCTGGGGCGAGGCCAGGCTTTGACTCTTTTTAGAAAGTTCCCCAGGTGACTCTATAAAGTGCAGTCGAGCCTGGAATCACTGCTTTAAAAGGAAATGTTATCACAAGAAAATCCAAAAAGGAGCCCTTGAAGGTTATTACCAACATACTCTGGAACATTGAACCCTCCATTAAGTGACAGCTGGCATTATTTTTATTATCAACACCATCCTCATTGCTATTATCATTTCTGCTCCGACAGGATCTGGGTGAGGGATAAAAGAACAGCAAAGAGGAAACTCCCAAGCACAGTGTTCTGTCCAGACTGACAGAAAATAACTCAGAACCTCCAAGTGCTGTGTGACTCCCTGAAGGCAGAAAAACTGATGCCTCAGAGGAGTGGCGGCAGGTCAGTCAGTTAAATGTGTGCTCGCACTACTCCATCTGGCCAGCGGACAGTTCAAGCAGAGGGTCCCTATACCCAACTACAGTAGCATCCAGCTAACAAGTCACACATACTCTAGGCTCTTCCTTTAAAGAAAAAAAAGAGGAGTAAAATGTGTGCTTGACATACCTTTGGTTTCTCTAATGACAATTGCATTTAATAGCCCTTTCCCTCTCACAGCAGTCACAATATCAGAGGGCAGCTTCATGAGTTCATTTCTCAAGACAATACCCATCTTCTCCGCATTTGCAGTAAGGTTTTCTTCTTCCAAAACCTATAATTAAAGAAAAATTTGAGGAATGTTAAGAATGCCCTTTTCTGGTTGTTGAGGTTGAGGCTCAGGGGTAGAGTACCTGCCTAGCACATGTGAGGCACTGGGTTGATCCTCAGCACCACATAAAAAAGTAAAGTTATAAAAAAAAAAAAAGAATGCCCTTTTCTAATTGTTGCTTGGAGGGCAACATGGACTACAAGCAAAGGAAACATGACTACAGAGTAACTGAGTTTTCTTTTTTTTTTTTTTCATTTGTTGTCTAATTAAACAGACATCATCAGCTCAGAGCTGATGATATCTGTTGTCAATCTGATTTCAAGGCAAAATAAAGATGTATTTCACATAATTTATGATATACTATCATTTGGACACAATAATTTGTTGTTAATTTGAAGACTTTAATTTTTAAATTGCAGAGTTTCCTTTCTTTCCTCCAAAAAATCCATCCTCAAAGACTAGGTAATGATTTTATGCCTAAGTCTAAAAGCACTGAAATTCTACATTTTGTGTATGGAGCTGAGGACTGAGCCCAAGACTTCAGGTATGCTAAGCACGGGCTCTATCTACCTCCAGACCACAAAATCCACACTGGGGGGTACCCTTGCTTGCTAAGCCAAAAGTAGATCAGTAGATTGGCATTCTCTCGGAGGCCCCTGTGACTGGTAACCCAAGGCAACAGGTTAAATTTACCTTTGGAGAATGCTGTGCTCTTGAAATCTTTCCTCTGTACTTCATGTTCTCTAATATTTCACAATCTTATTACATCATGGGCCCAAATTAAAAATCACTTCAACACTACCTAAAGAAGTAGTTAAGTGTTTTACCTCAAGAGCTGCAATGGCCACGCGGCAGCCTAGTGGATTGCCACCGTATGTAGAGCCATGCTCCCCTGGTTTAATGGTCAGCATGATTTCATCATCACACAACACCGCGGACACCTAGAAGACAGTGAGTTCTCCCCGTCATTTCTCAGACTAATAAGTATTCTCATTCTTAGCATACCAGGAACACGAATATTTTTACAAATTTGATATTAAAGATACACAGAACCTTCAACAAACAACAGTTTATATCTGTCACCCTACCACCAGCCGAGTGATAACCGAATACATTGCAAATACACTCGGTGCACTTCAATGGCACAGAACGAGACAACTTTGGAACTAAAAGTGAAAAGCTATTTCTGTAAGATATAACTTAGATCTCCTCCAATTTCAAGGGGAAATGCTCTGTCTGGGTGCTTAGAAAAAAAGCTACACATCCCCTCAGCAAGACAAGCCACCAGTGACTCCTCTCCTCAGAGCCTTCATCTAGACCAACTATTAGTTCTAGAGAGTAAACCCAAAAACTATAACAAAACACTACTGTTTTCAATCTCTGTGTTCATTAGCCATGGTTCTAAACAATTAGTTATACCATATTTCTACACACTGGGAAAAAAGGACAGACATCTACAAAAGGAGGTTTCATGTAAAATGCTTCCATCCAACCAAATGCCATGGCAAATTCCAAGGCATGCTCCACTCTTTAGGCAAAATCAACTAAGACAGAAACAGAAAATGTTTACTACAAATATTCCAGGTGGCCCACAGTGCTGTTGGTAAAACCAACCACCTATCCTAGTAAGTTATATTCCGTGTATGTATAATATGCCAAAATACACTCTACTGTCATGTATGTCCAAAAAGAACAAATAAAAACATTTTAAATTTTTAAAAATTTTAAAACCCCATCATCTGAAAGACACGAATTGCTACAATCAGTAATGTGAAGGTATTTTAGAGGTATGCTTCAGGAGAGCAGAGAATGGAAAGAAAACTCAACACTAAACTTACAGGGTATAAGCCACCAGAAAGGGCCTTTCCAAGAAGAACCAGGTCAGGCCTGACATTTTCATGATCGACAGCCAGCCATCTGCCAGTCCTGGCCAACCCTGTCTGAATCTCATCAGCAATAAACAGGACCTATTGGGAAACAACACAACAGCATTAATTCTCATTTTTCATTTCCACAGAGAAGATAGTGAGAACTTATTTCATTTCCCTCTCCCAGCAAATGTATAATTCCGCATGCCCTCCAATCTGTGAAAATGTCTTAATTACCCACACAACTTCAAGAGTACCCTATGAATCCAACACACACCAGAAGTCTGCGGCAGGGGGCCACTACCTCCCCAGGAGGCCATGGGGTACTGCTCTAAACAGTGGAGAACACTTATGCAAATATGAGAGAGTTGGACGACTTTTCTGGCGGTAGCTACCCTATGGGAAAAAAATCACTTAACTGTCCCATAAACATTCCTCAGATAGCTTCCATGTGACAGAAACTGTCAATGGCAAACAAAATACACTAATATCAGCCTTGGTGGGAGAAGGGGTTGGCCATAACTTCTGGAGCAGAGGGACTCAGCATAGGGTTTGGGAGACATTAAGAGTGCAAGGCTCCTGGGGAAGAGAGGAGGGAAACAGTGAGGGCCTGGAGGTCTGCAGCTCTGCCCACAGCACAGGCTCTGGCCTAGGGTTCCAGAAACTGTCAAAAATTAGCCTCCCATGCAATCTCTAAGTACGTTCCTAAACTCTTGGATTATGTCTCCCTCTAGTGGAAAGGCGATTTAATCTCCACACTTCTCCCAACTGAATTCCACAGAAGTCAGGCAGGAGCCTCTAGATCTGTTAGGGAGACAACCTGGTGCCTGGTGCAGAGTTCTCTCACTCCCACTAGGTAGCCTGGATCAGGAACAACAACGCCAGCTTCACCCTGAATTGGTTCTACCATGAAGGCAGCAACATCGGGATCCTGAAGAGCACGCTACAAAAGAAACAGGAGTAAGTTTTAACAACTTTCTTTCTACCATATTTGGAAATCTAAAAGCATATACTACACATTTTCCTGTCAACAGTTTTAAGTATGCAAATCATGTTATGATCAATATGGATAAAAGAGAGTTCTACTTGGGAAAACCAAATGAACAATGATTATATTTCCAAAACCAAAAAGTAGGAGTCAGATAGGGGCTCGGGTTGTGGCTCAGCAGTGGAGTGCGCTCGCCTAGCACGTGTGGGATGCTGGGTTTGATCCTTAACACCACATAAAAATAACATAAAGATATTGTGTCCAACTACAACTAAAACAAAATATTTTTTTAAAAAAGTAGGATCATTCTCTCTCTGTCTATGGAACAATGTGCCTTTATTTGTCAACTCTGACAAATGAACTCTCATGTGTAAAAAAAAAAAAGTAGAATCAGATGGTCTATGAACAAAACCAAATATCTAAAATTAGGTTCATCTCAGAGAATCAGAGACATATGGCCACAATTCTATGCTAATAAAATATTGCTATCTAAAATGCACCGGGTAATAGGTACGTTCTTCCAGGACAGGACTTACTACCCATTATTAGACTACTGTGAAGGACAAGTAGTATTCTAACTTACTTTTCATTAAATAGGAATACAGGTGACTTCCAGAAGACATCTAGAATTAACACCATTACATATCTCTTCTTGATATTCTTATAGACCTTAAAATCAACTTCTTAGCAGACAAACTCGTCTCATTTTCATTTTTCTTATATTTATTTTATTATTTTTTTAGTTTTTCAGCAGACATGACGTCTTTGTTTTGTATGTGGTGCTGAGGATCGAACCCGGGCCGCACGCATGCCAGGCGAGTGCACTACTGCTTGAGTCACATCCCCAGCCCTCATTTTCATTTTTAAAGCACACAGTATTTAAAGCATAAATTGTACTGATTATATTAGTTATCTAAAAAAAATATGAAAACTAATTAGAATCTGGAGGGAAAAGTGAAAACGATGAGGGAAAGAAAGAATAAAGTATCCAACCTCCAAAGTGAATAAACAGATCAGCCCTTTCAAAAAAAAAAAAAAATTAAGTATGTAAATCAAGGTTTTTTACACTTATATTCTACTTCACAAATGTAACATTTCCCACTGGCGTTCAATTCCCAGACACTCAATAAATACTTCAGATTTAAATTATACTATCCTATATTTTTCCAATATATAAATATATTATAAATAAAACCTACAGCAAATGGCATTTTAAAGCTATTTTAAGGCTTTTTTACTAAAGTACTCCACTTGGGAGCCAGGGATGTGGCTTAGTAGTAGAGCATGTGCTTGGCATGGGTGAGGCCCAGGGTTCGATCTCCAACATCAAAATGAAAAATAAAAAAGACCCTATTTGATGACTTTAAAAAGCTGGCTGAAAACTGAAATTTTATCTAGGAATTAAGCAGGTAATACCCAAGATATTAGGAAAGATACAAACCTGAAGAGGCTGTTTGGTTGGTTGGTCCTAAGGATTAAGACCACAGAACTATTGCAAAGTACTGATCATTACTGAGAATGAGTCTGAAACTTTGACCCAACTTGAATAAGACAAATTTTCACTAAAGTCACATAACTTGTTGATTTGCAGTGCTGAGGATGGAGCCCAGGGCCTCACATATGCTAGGCTAGCACTCTCACTGAGCTATCTTCTCTGCCCTCATAGCATATTTTTAATCCACATATTCAACAGAAAATCATTCAAAATAATTTGTATTCACTATGAGCTAAGCACCATGATACACTGAAGTACCTCAAGTGCAGGAAGATCATTATATGGGATAATTTCAAAACCCGGCATAAAGGGTCCAAAGCCATCATAACTGGTTGGGTCTGTGGAACTGGAGATAGCAGATAATGTTCTACCCCAAAAGTTTCCAGCTAGAAAGGAGAAAGAAACAGTGATTATTCCAAAGAAACTCACAAATTTGATAAGTATTACCCATACAAAATACTTTGGGAATTCTGACTAAAAAAAGAATTCACTTTGGAGAACCTCTGATGAGCTTCTACTATTACAACTAGTCCAATATTAAACACCTTGGTTCATCTGACCTAAGGCTACTAGGTCTGGCCTTGGAATTCCTACTGAATTCCTCCTACTGAGGCCTTCCCCACTGAGCCTCCTGGCTGTCGTATAAAGCCCTAAGGATAAACTCACTCACTTTACCTGGACTCCTCCCAACCCCAATCTGCAGTGCATGTTTTCTAGAGAAGGCACATTTATGATACTGATATGAGAAAGAGAATACCTTCCATAGAGAATCAGTAGTTTACCTTTTAAAACCCTAATACTCCAGGGTAACTACCAACAGAATGCATTTTCAATTTCATTTGTAGAAAAGATCCCAAGGCAACCAATCACTTTCCATTTTGCCTTCCTTGCTATTACAGTACTTTATCATCTAAATGACAGACCACTGCCTTTCTTCAGGACCACTATTCTACCCACTAATAAATGTGACTGAGGACCTACTAGATGTCAGGCACTATTCCAGCAGCAGAGGATGGAGGGAGATCACACTAGCAAGCTCCCTGGCCCTCAGGGAGCTTCCTTTCTAGTAGGGAACTAACACCATAACATATGCCAACAAAGTATCTCACTAGTTAACTTCAGATGGGGTAGAATTCCAGAAGGAAAGGAATGTAGAATAATAGAGAGGTTAGGGGTTCACCTACATTAAGGATGTTTTTATATCTTCCCACCACCTCTGCCAGCAGCAATGCCATTAACTCAGTATTGGATTATTTTCTCAACCCTTCTTGGCATCTCCAAGTGCTACTCTTGCAAGGGCCTCCTCCTCCTCCTCCTCTTGCCCACAAGTAACCGTCTTTTGCTCATCTAAAAACAAGAGTGTTTTGATTCTGACCAGGCTTATGAAAAAATGCACTGATAAGACCGGGAGCCTATCTGTTCTCTGCCTAACCTCAGGTGTCTCATCCTCCACAGCTCACCCTGCAGGTATAGGGGACTTACAGTTGGGGACAGTCTTCCGCTGTCTCTCCACCCCACAGACTCACCAGCTTCTTTCAATACTCGGGTGAAAATATCTTTGCACCCTTTGCTAATATGAAAGAGACTGGAAACAGTCTGTAAGAATGAAAATCACCAAAAATACTATTTTTGTTTGAAAGAGACAGTTATGTTGTCCTACAACTAAGGCATAAGACTTTAAAATGGCAAGTTACAGAGTTATATAAAGATTTTTTTCTTTGGAAATACTAATCTGTCACCTCAAATACCAATTGCCTCTGTCCATCAAATGAACTCTGGCTTATACTGTGTTATGGGGTTTATAATTCAACAGCATGTGTTCACAAGGTAAAATATTAAAGATTTCAATTATTAAGAATTTACACAAGAATAATTTTGACCAGAGTGACAAATCAATATATACTTTTTAAAATTAAAATCAAACCTTAAAAAGTCAAAACCTGTTATTTGAACATCATATAAAGACTCCTAAAGTTAGATGACATCACCTCAATTCACTGTTAGCTTCCCCAACCAGAATTCAAGTTGTTCCTCTCATTCTCAGGAGTGTAATGGGGCAACCCCAGGCCTCCTCTCCCTATAGCGTCTAAGAAGGACGTGACACAATGGTACATCCAATATTAAGACTCAAGAGTCACACAGTACAAAGGATGTGGCCCTGATAACATATCCTCACCCCAAAACATGACAAAACCCCTCCAACATAGGCCATCTAACTGGAAATCTTCTATGGAAAAAAATCTGATATGCAGATGAGAAATTTAATCATAGGGTCACTCACTTGGGGGAGGAAGAGTAGGAATTAAGAAAATCTCATATATGAAGAAATAACTCAAATCCAACAAGAGGAAATTCCTCATTGATTTTTATGAAACATTCAGCAAATAACGTATCATGTACCAAGCAAGTACATTAGAAATATTTCATCAGTAATAAAATGGAAAATGAAATTGTATGTTGAAATCATAACAGCATTCAGTGTTGCATACCTGCGAACACAATCTTGGCCTTGTATTTCTGAATGCCCTTCACAGAGTAGCCCCACCGGCGTGCAAGTTTGCAGGCAGTCTCCCCGGCCTCCACTCCTAGTTGGGGGGAAATGCTCAGATTTAAAAAGGCTTTAAATTATCAGGAATTAAGATGATTTTCTTGGGGATTTCACAAAAAAAAAAAAAGCAAATGCTTTACCTGTATTCATGGGAAGAACTTTGTGGTAATTGAACAGTTTGGTAACATACTCCTCATATTCACCAAGTATGTTATTGTAGAAAGCCCGCGATGTTAAGGTCAGCTTGTCCGCCTGACTCTTCAGAGCATTCACGATCTTGGGGTGACAGTGCCCTTGGTTGACAGCACTGTAAGCACTCAGGAAGTCAAAATATTTTCTTCCTTCTACATCCCACACATAAATACCTAAAATATGTCAGGAAGGAAAACAATTTTAGAAAATGACTACATGACATGAAGTCCAAAAATTAAGACTGCTAGCAAGCCCTCTAATGCCTACGTGAAAACTCTACGTATTTTTTTATTGTTAAAGTTATTTTATTTTATTTTATTTTAAGAGAGAGATTGAGTGAGAGAGAGAGGGGGGAGAGAGAGAATTTTTTAATATTTATTTTTCAGTTCTCGGTGGACACAACATCTTTGTTTGTATGTGGTGCTGAGGATTGAACCCGGGCTGCACGCATGCCAGGCGAGCGCGCTACTGCTTGAGCCACATCCCCAGCCCCAAGTTAAAGTTATTTTAGATCAAGCATAATAAACTTCAGTTTATAAGGAATTATTAAGGATATATTTTATCTATCCAGCTTCAAAATACACATTGAACAAGAACAGCATGAAAAGGTTATGAATTCTGGAGTGATACCTTTACCTAATTTTAACATTTAGCAGGCAAAATTAGGATTTAAGAGTAGAGAAGTTAGCCAGGCATGGTGGCACATGTCTGTAATCCCCATGAGACTAAGGCAGAAGGATAGTGAGTTCAAAGCCAACCTCAGCAATTCAGTGAGGCCCTAAGCAATTCAATGAGACTATTTATAAATAAAATATTTAAAAGGACTGGGGATATGGCTCACTGGTTTAGTGTCCATGGGCTCAATCCCTGTTACTAAAAAATAAAAAAAGTAGAGAAGTTACACATGATAGACAATAATTATTAAGGGACATATAACAACGCATAGGAATGTTTGGCTGGGTTAATTGGTACACACCTGCAATTACAGCAACTCCAGAGGCTAAAGTAGGAGGATCACAAATTTGAGGCCAGCCTCAGAAATTTCATGAAACCCTATCTCAAAATAAAAAGTAAAAAGGGCTGGGGATATGGCTCTGTGGTAAAGTACCCCAGGTTTAAATCTCCAGTACCGAAAGAAAAAAAATAGGGATGTATTTGCAAATCATGTATCGGTAAAGATCTAGTATCCAGAACTCTTTTATACTCAATAACAAAATCCATTAAAAAAAAATAGACAAATAACTTGATAGATATTTCTCCAAAAACAAATGGCCAACTAGCACAGGAAAAGACTCTCAGCATCACGAGCCATTAGGGAAATGCAAATCAGGACCACAATAAGATACTGTTTCATGCTCCCTAGAATGTTGATAATCTTTAAAAAAGAACAAGTTTGGGCAAAGATGTGAAGAATTTGGAATTGTCATATATTGCTTGTAGAAACATAAAATGGTAGAGCTGCTATGAAAAAGTTTGGCAGTTCCTCCACAAGCTAAGCACACAATTATCACATGACCCTGCAATTCCACTCCTAGAGTATACCAGAAAGAACTGGAAGACAGGTGTTCAAACATAAACTTGTATGGCATTCATAGCAGCCCTATTCCATAACAGTCAAAATCTAGAAACAATCCAAATGTCATCAGCTGTTGGATAGTAAACAAAATGTAGTACTTACAATCAAATATTATTCAGCCATGAAAAAGAATGAAATTCTGCCACAAGCTACAACATGGATGAATGAACCTTGAAAACATTAGGCCAAGTGAAAAACTGGACATACAGGGCCACGTAGTATAGATTCCATTTACATGAAACATTCAGAATACACAAATCTATAAAAAGGTGGAAAACAGCTCAGTGGTCACCATCAGCTGTGGGAAGGGGGAAAGGGGATGAATGTTTAATGGATGTGAGCTTTCCTTTGAGGTAATGAAAAAGTTCTGGAATTAGACCAAGGTGGTGGCTACACAACATTGTAAATGACATTTTATGCCACTGGATTGGATGCTTAAAATGGTAAATTTTACATTAGGTGCATTACAGTTTTTTAAAAAAAAAAAAACTTGACTGTAGATATTAATACTCGTCTTTTACCATGTGCCACACTGTGTTATGTGCTTTCACACCTTATCAAAAACCCCCTTATGAGAGTTACCATCTCTATTGTACCTAGAGCTAAACAAATAGAAGCTCATGTCATAACTAGCCTGGGCTGGCACAGGAAACAGGAATTAGAACCCAGGCAGCCAGACTTTCAGGGTCCACACTCTGCTAATGTATGTGAAGAAAATTTTTAATAAATTGTTTCCAAATATGTAATACATAAATCTATATTTTCATTAGTCAAAAGAAAATATGTCTATATTATAGTACTGGTCCCAAATAATACTGGTAATGACAAAATATTTAATATATTTTCATCTTCTGGCACAAAGCCAAATAATAAAGTTTGGTCTAATTTGTTAAGGCAATTATCTGAAAATGCAGATTAAGTCGCCATTTGACAATTATCACTGTAATAGTTTATTTGGACAAGAATCATGGGTGTTAAAATTAGAAGTAAAAGTTTCATGAGTAACAGGATACTTTACAGTCTCAAACTATGTCCCCAGAAAATTCTTAATACAAAGGGAGAAATGTAACTTTGCACTGGAGAAGCCTGGCAGACACCACCTTGTCAAGCGAAGCGATGGAAGTCAACACCGGCAGTAAATGGGCATCTCTTGCCGTGATGCACTGTGAAGGGCAGGACACCACTGCACACAGGTGTCTGACCTGACTGCCATCATAAGCAAACACCAGCACAAACTGCAGTGCACTACAAAATCAGCCAGTGTACTTCAAAACATAACAAGATCAAAAAGATAAATATCGAGGAACTTGTTCTGGATGAAAGACAACTAAACCTGCCAGGCACAGTGGCACACACCTAGGATCCCAGCGACTGGAGAGACTGAGGCCGGAAGAATGCATTCCAGGCCCCCTTAGCAAGGTAGTAAGACCCTGTCTCAAAATTAAAATTAAAAAGAGCAGGCAATGTAGTTAATGGTAGAGTCCCATGGGTTTAATCCCAGGACCAAAAAACAAAAAAGACAATAAACCTGACACCTGGATGTAACTCATAATCCGAAGTTCTTTTGTTATGAAGGACAACTAATGGATCTGGATCTTTTGATTAATAATGGTGTTATACTAGTGTTAATTTCCTGATTTTAGTAATTACACAAGATAAAAGTAAGTCCTATATCTTAGGAAGACACACTAAGTATTCAGGGGTAAAGATACATCGTATCTGCTACTTGCTCTCCAACAGCTCAGGAAAAAATGTACAGTACATAGATAGGTTGGGAGGGGGAAAGAGAGCATTCCAAAAGCAGTAAAATGTTAGCACTCAGGGAATCTGAATAAGAATAAAAGTAAAAGAAAATATTTAGTATTGCTGTTACAACTTTCCTTTATGTCAAAAATTAGACCAAAATCAAAGCTAACAGGGAAAAAAAAGACAGCGATATTATGGTACTTTCCGTATTTCTCCCACATTCCCTCTGGTGAGGCCCACCATGAGGAAGACTAGCTGCTCATTTTTGTGGACCCATGGAGACACTGGATGCCCTGCAAGGCTGAATGAACCTCATCTACAACACGGGCATTCAATGCATCTGGGGAAATAGAGAATATAGAAGCAATTCATTTTTATAAAAAGTTTCAAGCAGGGCTGGGATTGTGTCTCAGTGGTAGAGTACTTGCCTAGCATGTGTGAGGCACTGGGTTCAAGTCTCAGCACCAAATATAAATAAATTAAAAATAAAAATAAAGTCCACTGACAACTAAAAAAAAATATTAAAAAAAAAAAAGTGAACTACTCAATACATACCTCTCCCTTTCTCCAGGGCGACAGGTAAAGGGTGGTAATTATGTGCACCATATTTAGATTCCCGTTCAAAAATATAATCCGAGGATGGAGGTCCTTGGACTGTCTTTTTAGTTGCAACAGATGTGGCAGAAGCCACTGAAGAATGAACTCCACGGCGAAGCACGGCAACAGCCTGCAGATGCGCTAGCTTAGAAAACATTATGTCCTCCAAGTAGGAAAACCACAGACCTGCCAAAGAAAAGACAAGGCATTGAGGACAAGCCTTCCCAGAGTCAGCCTCTGCTCACTGAGCATCTGTTGAGCATCTAAAAAGGGACACAATCAGAGAAGGCTACTAGAGAACACACTGGGGCAGGAGCCAGGGCCCAGAACGATTTTGGGGTTCGGAGGTTTGTCTGTTCTGAGACCTGGCATCATCTGATCTCTCTGTTCCTTGCCTTGGAGGGGGTTGAATTCATGGGCTCAAGTGCTCCTCCCACCTCAGCTTCCAGAGTAGAAGGAATTACAGACCTCAGCTGCCACCACCACCCTCCCCCAGCCCACCCTACTCAGCTGGCTTCTTTTTTGTATCTGACTCTACTTTTCTGTGGGGAGTGAAGCAATTAAGAAAGAATTTAGTTTCTACGAAGATATTAGGGATCATCCTAAAGGAAAACTAAAAAATGTGGAGAGGAAAAGTTGACTTTAGCGGGATGGGAAGAGTTTATACCTAAAGAAAGAAACTACAAAAAGTAAAATTTTTATTAGCCACAAATATATAAAAATTCTGCAGGTCAAATTTATCATAAAACAAAGGTGAAAGGCAAAAAGACTAAGGAAAATATTCTGTAATTTAATTTGTGAAAGTTTTAAACAGCCTTTTATAGTCAGACCAAAAAATAATATAAATGAAGGAGAAAAAGACAATTAGGGCCTAGAAAACATCAAACTACAATTAAGTTAGTTGTTTGAATTTTAGTACTAAAACCTGATCAGGTGCATGATGGCATACTCAGTACCTATATCCCAGTTACTTGAGAGGCTGAAGCAGGAGGATTGCAAATTTGAGGCCAGCCTGAACGACACAGAAAGACCATCTCAAATAAATACATTAACTGAATAAAGCCTTAATAGAGAAAGGGGTACAGCTCAGTGGTCGACATTTGCCTAGCATGAGTTCCTGGGTTCAATTACCCAGCACTATTTTTTAAAAAAAAAGAAAGAAACTCTGAGCATCTCTGAGCACATACTATTCACTCACATGTATTTCTGCATATTTCAGAGTCACGCTACTGTCCATTCCCTACCAGTCCTAGTGTAGTGGCACCCCCTCCTCCACAGAAGATCTTCTTCAGAAATCTTCACCATAATTGATTTTAGGACTATCAGCAAGAGTCTCTACAAAAGAGTTCAATGTAAGCAAACTTCCTATTTTCCTGTTATTCTATTTTACTTGGCCACTGGCCTGGAAGAAATCAGCACTCCAGGTGCTGAATGCCCCTTTACTAGTTTTTCACAAACATTTACCCAGTATAGTAGTTTGTAAAAGTGTGTTTGCAAATGCAAAATGTGATAATAAAAAGACAAATCCTTTAACAAGGCCTCTGGCCTTGAACTGGGCTTCACAGAGATGTCTACATTTCTAAGATAAGAGAAGTTACCAACTGGGCTCCATGGTAACAGCTGGTGTGTGTGTGGGGGGGGGGGGGCAGGAAAGAAAGAGAGAAAAAGCTCTCCCCTTCTCAGGTGTTGTCCTTGAAGGGTTAACTTGCCCAGAACTGTGAAAGAAAAAGCTGCTTTTATGTGAGCTTCTGCAGACTGTGAACTTCTAAGCCCCTCTCCTTATGTGCTGGGTATAAAGTTCTGAAACTACCTGAACTAGGGGTTCAGGGGATTAACTGATTACAGCAAAAGCTGTACCCTCTGAACCTGGCTGCAGCCAAATAAAACTATTTCGTGCTATCTTCGGTGTCCTGTCTCATCTGTCCCCTACAACAGTAATACCAGACCCACCCACCTCTATATACAGTTTACCATTCAGGATTGTGACAAGTCATGAAGTAAAGACTAAGGTACAGAAGAAATTAAGAACAAAAAGGAAATGCAAAAACATGGATAGAGATCATGTCTGGGGGAAGTTTTCAAGATAAACTCAAGATTAGGAGAAAGCTGCCAAAAACTAGGCATACTTAGTATGCCTATACATACTTATTTTTTTAAAGACTGGTTAATTCATGTTTCAACAGAGCCTGTCCATGACAAGTCAAACTATGCACAATCTTACAGCATTCGTGACATGAGCTGCCAAATTAGCAAAACACGATCCTTGGGTTGGCTCACTTCCCTTTCAACTTGGCAGTACCCAGCAAAGCTAGTGTTCAGGAATTTACAAATGGTAAGCAAAATCAGAGGTCTGGTTTGCCAAAGACTCACCAATGATTCTTATTTCTCACTGTTCAGACTAGAATACAGATTTTCCACCTGAGATCCAAGGATGGCTTTCAGAAGGTCCAATAACTCCTAAAACACAATGCAGAATTTTAGGCAGAGGTTTTCATTTTTCTAAGGAGAAGATCTATAACTTTCTCAAAGGGGTCTGTATTAACAACCAAAAAAGTGATATAAGAATCATTAGACTAGAGGTGGCTGCTTACAAAAACATCCACTTGTATGGACAGTACTTCCCAGAACACCACTAAGCCTAAAATGCTCAGTTTCCATTTCTTTATGCAGTTCTTTATGTGCTCCTCAGTACAATTATTTCGCCTACTTGTTTCACCTACTAAAATATTTCAATGACATTAATTTTTGCCTATCAAATTAATAATAAAACAGCAATGTATCCTCTCAAGCAATACTTACTGGCACTCTAAACTTGGTGCAGCTTTCTAAAGAGATCTACAGCCAGAATAAAGCCTTAGGTGTGTTGTTTCATTATGAGGCCATGTTGAGAATGGGGGGACGGGGGCAGAACCACTCTTGGAATGTTAATGTCCCCAAGGCCCAGAGCCCATCCCAAAGAAGTATTAATGAAACAGCTCCCAGCAAACTTGAAGATGCTGACCCAAAAGTCCTTCCTGCCCAGATTACTCCTTTGGCCCACCTGTGCCCCACCCTTAACAGGACAGGAACAAAGGACAGGAATGTGACAGGAATGTGGGAAAGCTAAAAGAAGACCTTAGCTATAAAAAGGGGAATACATTTGCCCTTCCATGGATTTCACCTCTTGGATCCCCTTCTTCCTCGGGAGAAGTCTTTTCTGCTGTCCTTTAATAAAGCCTCTACTTTCCACTCTAAACTTGCCTCGGTGGCATGCTTCTCTTGTGTTATACTTCAACATTGGGGAAGCAAGGACTCGTCACCGGTAGACAACAACATTATCATATACATAAAGTGTAGCCACCTAAAATAAGCATTGGATGGTACATTGGGGTTTCTCACATCAAATGAAGAAAATAAAATCACACATGTGGGATACAAAAGATAAAAGGAAAAAAAGGTCAGGACAGGCACAAAAAGGTCACCGTGGCCAGTTTACACTATTCTGTGCCTTTCACATTTTCTGCAATGACCATGAATTACATTTATAATCAGAAAAAAAAAAAAAAACACTATTGAGAATGAAATTGAATGTCCATCTGGTTTTTACATTAGACAAAGAAAAAGCTTAGGCCACAAACAAAGCTAAACTAGAAGATAGGGTTTCATAAAACTTTGAGAAAACAGCATGGTTAAAAAAAAGGTAGAAGGCACTACTCCTAGGATGTGCAACCTTGATTATAATTAAGTCCAAAGGTTCCTTGGGGACAGGGTCAAATTCTAAGAAACTATGCTATATGATGATTGAGCTACCAATGACGGCAACTGTGACTTTACTAGTAGCAGACAGAGAGGCACTCAAAAACAGGCCAGGGGGGTTAGATGGAGGGGTTGTAATTTACAAAGCATTAAAAACACACTGAACAACATCATTTTTAGTTAACAGACTGCAAGTGAAAAGAATCTTTGTGATTATAGAAATTCCACATTCTTTTGTTATACAACAGTTATCTGTTCAACTAATTCTCAACCGAAATGGGATCAAAAAATCCATTTATGAGCAGAGTTCAGGTAGTTTTATTAAAGGGTAATCATAAATTAGTGACATAACATTAAAATCATCCTTAAAGATGAATTCTGGATTCTTAGTTGGACTGGGAAAGGTCACAGGGCACACACACCATGATATACCAGAATCCTGTAAACACGTTTCTATTAAAGAGCCTTCTGTGTTCAGGTTACTGTGCTTGGCACTATATAAGAAATATTAGAAGAGAATTAAGATGACCTTAAAAATAGCCAACATCAATAATTCCCCCTTCCAAATGAGTCTGGAAAAACCAAAAGAGTCAAATGTCCACAGGTTGGTGACCAGGATTTAAATTCTGTGATTCTGAAGAGTTTCTCTGGGTAATTTTGTCAATCCTTCTAAGCTTCAATTTCCCCATTTGCAAAATGAGGCTGAAGCCATTCAAGGTCACCACTGAGGATTAAGGCGTTCACATGCCAACTCAAAGCCTGGCACAAAATAGCCATTTAGTTCCCTTCTGCCCTAAATTCACAAGGAAACTAGCCAATTTCTACAATATAAGTCAACAATGCCATATTTTAGGTCTTATACTGGATTTTTTTTCCTCTTAAAAAAATAAAATTTTCTTGACAAAAATTTAGAAAACACAGACAAGAAACTTACCTGTAACCCCATATATACGAGACAGCCATTATCTTTTTTTTCTAAAAACACTATATACACATTGTTATTATTGTTTTCTACCATCCCCTACAGAATTTACCACACAAGTCCCTCCAGAAGGGTCCCAGAACTTTGCAGACTTTTGTCACAGGTCCTAACACTTCAGGACACTTGTTTTCATGCCTATTCCCCTGCTGGACTCTTGTTTTTTAAAAGGTCAGTAACGTGTCTTAAAATTTACTTAGCCCAGGTTGGGGCATTCTGTTGGCATTCTCTGCCTGTCAAATGATCCAGGTTATTCCTAAATAGACTCAGCACTCCTAAAGTGGTCAAGATGGCAACAGAAAGTGACTGAGACTACCAAGATGAGACTTAAGTCACCCATCCCTGACCAAGCTGAGGTAACTAAGGAGGCCTTCACTCTCTGCATCTGAAGAAACTAATATTTTCACCAAGAATCCACCCTACTAGATTTAATGGCCTTCGAAGATCAAAATAATGTTACAAACTATTGTTGTGCATTTCATCAACACTCAGAATCTGGAAATGAGAACAAATTACTAATGACAAGCTAAACACTTTTAACACTTCATGGTTTAAGTAATCTGCCTAATTAACACAATCCTTCAGGCTACCATTACTCACTCCCCCTTATCAGCCATTTCATCTACAGTAGATCCTTCCTACAACAGAATTTCCATAAAAGGCCACATTCTGGAGTTAATTTAACCTGCATTATTAAATATGATTTTCTTAAATTACTCTGAAAGAATCATCAAGGTAAAGTCATCAAAAAGCCATTGAAAATATTTACTTTTCTGAGGTAACCATTCACAAACACAGGCCTTTTTTTTTCTTTTTTAAAGTTCTGCCAACAAAAGCTTTTTAATGCAATCGCTATTCTGGCTAAAATTCAACTCAAGTACGTCAATGGCAAACAACTAAAGCATTACTACTGAGAAAAGATTGGGTAAGCCACACCGCACCCTTCACACACCTCCAAAATCCACCCATTCTCTGCTATTTTAAGATGGGACATTCACCATCCTCAAGAAGGCATAAAATGTGCACATAGATAATTGTAGTCAAGACTGTGCAGGAAAAACATATGAAACAGCCTCTTTGAGAAAAAAGTACCTTTTTAAGAATTTTGAGTACTTATGTTGGGAGGAATGCAAAATTAATCTTAAACACCATGAAAAACTGCAAACCCCAAACAATAAGTTCTGTATTTAAATCTTGTTTTTATGAAAAGATTCTACTTCCATCTTCTTCAGAGTCAAGAACTAGATTCTCTACTGCCAGAAGAATCCGGATATTCTAATGAAAAACATCTACAGTTTATTTCAAAGTAATAAGATAAAGATTTGGGATCACAATTTAAAGAACTACTAAGGGTTCAAGTTATGGAACTAATTTACCTACAGAAACTCTTATAACCCCAGTAGGAGAGACTGAGAATGGAGAAACTGGAAGTTAGTAATGTAAGATAAAGCCAGTTCGTTGCAAACTCGCTCTCCCTGTCCCTTAGTTTATCTAAAACACAAAGCTGAACGCCAAGAAGGCAAAATTCAGCAGGCCCAAGGGGACACAGTGTTCACCAGGAGCAAGCGTTCCGCTGAATGCAGCCCGAATGCACCATGCTGAGCAATGTTTGCAAAGGACCCTGAGAATGGGGTCTTCACGCTGAAAGGCCGTTGGCCCCCAGCCCTGGACACCACCCAGCAAACGCGCACGTTACTGCACTGTAACGACCTACTTCCGTAATTCTTATATTTGGACAAAGGCTGAAGGGGGAAAGAACTGAAGAGGGGAGGGATGGGGGGCAGGGTTAGCGGCGGGGCGTGGGGGCTGCTCGAGAGGCGGCGGACCCGCCCGTAGGTTGCGTCAGCGACCCCGCCCGAGACCAAAGTCGCCTGCCGCTTGCGCCGTCGCCGGTACCCACGAAGCACCCTGCTCGTCGCCCGCAGGAGCCCAGGGCGCCCGGGTGCCCGCGCCCCCAACGCCTCCTTCCCGGAAACCTCGAGTCCGAGGGCCCGGGCGCTGGGACCAGGAAGGCGAAGGGCGGAGGCCCGGCCCCCGCGGGCCGCGATCCAGGGCCGGCCGGCTCCGCCCGGTGCCACATCCACAGCGCGCCCAGCCCGCCCAGCCCCCCTGCCTCCCGCCGCCCGGGCCGAGGATGCTCCGGCCGGGTTCCAGGCCGCCGGGTCCGAGCCGCCCGCGACGCCAGCGGGCCGCGGAGGCTGAGCCTGCCCGCCCGCGACGCCAGCGGGCCTCGGAGGCTGAGCCTGCCAGCCCGCGGATGCCCAGCATGCCCGCGGAACCCGGCCCGGAGCCGCTCCGGAGGCGGCCGCACGCCCGGGCCCCGACCTCAGGCTCCACCCCAGCCCCGCGGCACCCGCGCGGTACCTGGGAGGCCGGAGCCGGACACGCGGCAGCGGAGCGGGTCTAGCACAGTAGCGCCGCACCGCGCGTCATCCAGCCTTAAGGCGCGGCGTCCGCCCCGCCCCGGGACGCGCTCGCCGCCCATTGGCTGGGGCCGAGCGCTGGGCACCAATCGCGTGGGCCTCGCCCTCGCCCCGCCTTCCGCTGCCGCTTATTGAGACTGGTCCTCGCTGCGCAGGTTCGAGCTTCGCCTGCATCTGCTGAGAGGGCTCTGGACGCTGAGCATCGCTGCCCGCCCTTGCTGGCAAGAAGACCGAGGCCCGAAGGAAAGGAAAGACTTGCTCTCCGCTGCTCTTGCGCCGCGGAGGGACATGAGGATGGCTGTTGGGTTCTACCTGGCTCCCGGCAGGCTCCCATTCCACACCTCGCGGAGCCTTAACGGGCCACCAACACCAGCTCTGCCCCAGATGCTGGGCCCCATGCCCTGGTGTGCGGCACAGCTGAGTTTTGCTTCTGTACCCTCCTCCAGAATCATCGCTGCGGCCAGCTAAGGCACTGCCCCCCTGTTCACTGCTGATGTTAGAGACTAAACCGATGGCACCGCTGAGCACGAACTGTCCTGCGGGGCCCTTCTCATTCCACATGTGCCATGAAACTCAGAACTCAAAATGGGTCTCCCGAGATACTCTCATGTTGGAATCAGAAGAAATTTGGTTATCGTTTAGTTTACAACATTTGTTGTATACTGGAAGACAAAGGCCCAGAGAGGAGAAGCCAGTTACCCAATAAGTGAGGAGCAGTCCAGTCCTGTGTCTCTCTGAGGGTTGTGGTGACAACTACAGGTGACAAGATTACATGTCAGTACCATGTTCCACTGGCCTACAGTAATCAGTCAGGGTTTCAGTCGCTAACACACAGCACACTCTAATCCAGGAAAAGTTATGTGCATGTGAGAGAGTGAACCTCAGGGGTGGAGTAATCTGGGTCTTATGCACCAGGGAGGGCCATTATCAGTCCTTGAGCTTGTGGGACTAGAAGTAGGGTTTCCAGAACCCAATGAGTGCGGGGAGTGTGAGGAGAGACAACCTGTCTGGGGTGAGGTCACCCATGACCCCACTGGAAGAAACTGAGTGCTAAGCATCCCACCTCTCCTCTTCTGCCAGATTCCATGTGCACAAATCATTTAGCAGCCAGAGGCCTAAGGAGTCCCTTAAGACAATCCCTACCTGTCAGTCTCATGGAAAACAGATCAGGGTGGGAAATGGAAGTAGAGGGGAAAATGGAAAACATTCTTCACATGTAACTGGCTAAGTCTTGGCTGAACAGAAGTCATGCTATCTGGGAAGCTCAGGGAAGTGGTGTGGGCTCAGAGGCAGAGCTGCGAACAGTAGAGCCAACGTCTACAGGTGTACAGAAAAAGACACCAAAAGGAGTTCAGTCTTCCTAGTTCTAATCTGCCCTAGACCAAGGTCACTTGCTTAGATTGTTATGGCTAGTCCCTCTTTGGAATTCATTAGGAGCAGAGCTTTGCCTTTTATTTCTTTGACATTCCTTCCCACCACCAAAAACAGCATGATTAACTTCCTGGAAGCTGGGTCATTCTGCCCCAAGGGTCAGAAAATCATTCTTTTCTCTAGGGGTCCTGCCCTGCAAATCTGGGCCAGTGTGGGAGGCCAACTGCAGTTCTTAGAACTCTTACAGAACCCAGAAACTGAATTCAGGAGAAGGGCTGAGTATAACACCAAAATATGTTGCAATGCTTAGGACTCAGAGATAAGGCACTCTTTAATGAAAAAGCTTTCGTATGCAAGAATCTGCTGAGAATGTCTGGGTTTTATCTCTTCTCTCTTATCAGAAATAGGTACAAAGAACATAATAGTGTTTTATGATTTCTCTGCAGCTGTTGTTATTTTAGCTTAGTTGTAGGCTGGATAGAACAACCCGCACTCAAAAGTTGCTTTTATTCCACCAATAAACAAAACCGCTCTACTCATATGCATTGTTTGTGCAGTGTAGAAATATCCAAGAAAGCAGCGTGCATGATAAAGATGTTTGAGCTTTTGAAACTTAATAGATTCCAGCAATTAAGTCTATAGGAACCATAAAACCTGGAGAGATAAAGACCCACCCTCATAGCAGATACCACCTAAGATCTAAATTACTTCCATCAGTTCATTCAACCAATGTCCCTTGCATGTCCAGGTGCCTGATTCTGCGTGGAGTTTCACATGAGGTGAGACCATGTGAGACTTACAGGAAGAGAGACAATCAGAAAATGTTCCTTCAACAGATGTGAACAAAAATCTTGCAATTTTGACCATCTGAAAAAGCTGCAGATCAAGAATAGACAACAGTCAATTACTGAGGACCAGAAAAATAATTTACAGGTTAAACAGACTTCTTGCTTTTCCTTCATCACCCACCTTGTTGTTATTTGTTATTATCATAGTCTGCATATACTTGGGCTTCGTATTTTTATCATTTAGAAAATCCACACTGACAACCAAGAAGGAAATCTGATAATAAGCCTCAGAAAATAAGTTTTGGTGATTATTTACCCAGTGGGAGCAATTTTGTTTGGCAAAGTATATTCACCCTAAAAATGTTAGGCAGTTATGTCAGGGACAGAGTAAGTCACCTCCAGTCCTCAATGGCAGGGATCTGGCAGGAGCAAGTTAAGCAAAGCGGTGAGGAGAGTGAGAGAGGGACAGCTGGGGCAAGTTCTGAACTGACATCTGGACTAGGAACGGAACTAGACAGACTCAGGAATTTTTCAGTCAAAATACTGTCCTAATAGGAGAATGAACCTTCCAGGAAAATCTGTTTCCTCTTCCCTGAAGCTGAACTTCACCGTAGAAGTCTAGCCACAGCTCTGTCCTTCCCCCTGTGAGACCCGCCCTACTCTGCAGCTGCAGGGTCTCCTCCTTTGCTTCCTCTCTCTGCTTCTGTCCACTTCTCACCTCCTGCCTGCAGTCCTTATTCACCTTCTAATGTCTCTCTAGCTCTATCTACCCACCCGTCTATCTGTGTTTTCTGCCCAACCAGACTGCAGTTTCTTGAAGGGAGAGCCTGTCTTGCAGGATTTTTACAGCCTTCCAATACATCTCTGCGTCACTTCACATAGGAATTGTTATTTTACTCTTGTCACTGTTCATCTTTTTCCCCCTTGGCAGAACAGGTGACTATGGAAGTATGGTCCTTGGATTCTAAAAGCCCAGGCACCCAAAGCCCTCCCAACCCTAGAGAGTAACAGCCATTTAGATCAAAGCCTTAGAGACTTGAAGGAGGTGGATAGTTTTAAAACACTGTTGTCCATTAACATTTCCCTACTTGTCCTTGTTGAATGACTGTCACATGCTGAAAGACTATCATGTGCCAAAAGAATGTCACATGGGCCAGATAAGTTTATAAAGTCGTGTGCTAGAGAGATGACAATGGATGAATTCTTAGCTTGGGGCGTGAGACCTGGAAGAGAGCCTGTGAGAGTCTTGGGAGTTGGGTGGCTATAACTGGAAGACAATATATACCTGGAAGACAGGATAGGGACAGAACAGAAAATTCTAGAAAAGAAAAGGAGGAGGTCAGTTCAGGTCACCAAGCAAGAGGTGAGGCCTATTTGAATCAGTTCAACTGCAACATTTAAAAAGTGATTCAGTTTGTGCAACTGTAAAAGTCAACTACTTCTTAATATTAAATAATATTGAAAAATAATAAATACATTATTCCAAACATGTGCATTAGAGATGTAATTGCAGGGCTTGGGATGTGGCTCAAGTGGTAGCGTGCTCGCCTGGCATGCGTGAGGCACTGGGTTCGATCCTCAGCACCACATAAAAACAAAATAAAGATATTGTGTTCACCTAAAAAACTAAAAAATAAACATTTTTAAAAAATTTTAAAAAGAGAGATGTAATTGCATAATAGATTTTTAAAGCTGAAAAGAACCATAAAGCCCCGACCTCTGCACTAGGGATCAAACGCAAGGCCTAGAACATGCTAGGTAAGGCAAGCACTCTACCACTGAGTTATATCCCCAGCCCTGTTTTCAAAGACAGTGTCTTACTGTGTAGCTCAGGTGGACCTCAAACTTGTGATCCTCCCACTTCAACCTTTGAAGTAGCTGGGATTTCAGGCATGCACCACTGCACCCAATTTAAAGATTTAAGTTTTTTTTTTTTTCCTTTGTAGTGCTGGGGATTGAACCCAGGGGCCTCCTGCGTACTAGGCAAGCCCTCCACCACTGAGCTCTTTAACAGGTATATACCACCACCCATCTTTTTTGGTTTTGTTTTGGTTTTTGGTACTGGGAACTCAGGGCCTCACTATGCTAAGCACATGCTGTTCCACTGAGCTCTACTCCCAGCCCCAGAATCTACCACTTTTAAAAGAAAAGCAAGATTCCAAGATAAAAGGCCCTGCCAGTGCTAGGACAGTTGAGAAGCCAGCTATTCCACTCGTCAGGTTCCATGTTTGAGACAATCCAAAGCAAGAATTTAGACTAAAATTCAAAAAAGTTAAAGAAAAATGATAGACAAAAATTTAAAGTAGTGGGATGCCATGTCTGATGGCACATGCCTCCCAGTGACTGGGGAATGGCTGGATGGCAAGTTGAAGGTCAGCCTCAGCAACTTAGGAGGACCCATACTTAAGAGACCCTGCCTCAAAATAAAAAAAATAAAAAGGTGTGGGAATGTAGCTCAGTGGTAAAGCACCCCTGGTTTAATTGCCAGTACCAAAACAAAAGAAACAGAAAAATAATCAGCAGCAATGTTTATTTAGAAAATATTATATCATTCATTAATTTAAAAATAAGATAAGCTTCAAATACTAGTTAAATATTGACACCCTTATCAGCTTAGGTACTCAGAGGCTCAGAGTATTTTGCAACAATTTTTTATTGATTCCATGAAGTGAAGGCTAACTCTGGATTTGGAAGCTTGGATTACTTTTATTACTTTTCTTTTGAGGATTTTAATTCTGAATCTTTTTAATTGGGACTCTAATTTTTAAAATCTTTTAAATTCCATGATTCATTCATTGAAAATAACTCAGACTTTTTTCCCTCATTAATAAATGTAGTTTTAATATTCTTTTAATTACA